CATGTCTAAAGTGGCAAGTTAATGATACTACACATTACACTAGAGAAATTTACTATCAATGTAGGCCACAATCACTAATCATACAATATAGTAATTTACCTATAAGTAAATTTAAGTGCTATATACCAGATTTTCATACTAAACTTCCCATGAAACCTCATTACTTAGCAACATAAGTATAACCTTAAGATATTCATAATAAACCCTCAATAAAATCACAAGTATTAGGCAAGTCATTAAACAATAATCTGCCTATTCAATTTAATAGTCATATACATGCTTTAATTCACAAATCCTAAGTCAAGTATATCAAATCTCCATTTCTATGCAAGTACAAGAATTTAAAAGGCATGTAATCAATATATTTCAAGCTTCAATATATATAAAACCCAAAGAGGATAAACATACAACCACCCCTACCTCAATAGAGAATTGAATCTCTATAATCTAAAGTAACCAAGCTTAAAATGGAAAACCAAACTAGGGTTTTGTAGAGGAGAGTGAGAGGAAACTAAAGTACTCCAAGCTTTAGGTTCTAAGGTGAATGGAAGGGCACCAAAATGGGGCCTAAAGCTTTAAACCAAGCTTTTCCTTCAATAGTGGCTAGGTTACGGCTTGAGAGCAAAAGGATAAGAAAAATAAAAATGAAAAAGAGGTAAGTGGAGGATTTAGTATTCCTCCACTCAAGCCTGGGGAAGAGCCTCGGCAAGATGATTCCAGCAATAGTCATTTGAAGGCAGAAAAGCAGAATCGGTAAGAATATATATCTAGCCAATTTCATAACCAAAATTGGCATCCTAGTTTTAAAAGGCAAACGCCAGTTCAATCAGAAATTTGGGTACAAAAAGGAGCCGATTCATATAAAGTACGAACTGTGAAACCAATAACAGACTCAACGGACGACAGATGGACTCGAGTCAATCGCCCAAAATTCCCCAAGGTTCAAATAAATCAGAATGGAGGCCTTACTCGATCTCAGAAACGTAGGGAACAGAGGAGAAGGGCCTAGGAGAAAAGGAAAGCTGAAGAGGTAAGCAAAGAAGAGTTAGCTGAGAAAGTCAGTATTCCAGGCAAAGATCAACCGGATGAGGTAGAAGAGCATCAACCGACATGGCCTAGATGTAAAAATGAGTTCAGAATTCAGTTTGGTAGTTTCCCAGACGAAATGTAATATAATATGGCGTTTGTATTACCAGTAATGTTCCAGGCCCCATCAACATCAAATGCAAGTATTGAAAATAAGGAGAAGGAAACTCGGCCGAGTCGGAGTTTATCAATTCTTTCTTCAAAATCGACAGAAAAGGTAGTCTTTGAGAAACCTTTGTTAGCAATGACTCAACAAGTAAGGCCTTTGTATGTCAAGGTATGGGTAGAAGACCAACCTATTAACCGAGTCTTGGTTAAAAATGGCTCGGTTCTGAATGTTATTCCAGCTAACACACTGAAGAAACTCGGCAAGAGTATGAAAGATGTTATTCCCACCAATGTAGTAATTTGTGGTTTTAACGGAGGTTCTACTAGCACTAAAGGGATTCTTCCCTTAGAAGTCGAAGTTGGAGGAAGGACATCTTTTGTGGCATTCTTTATTATTGAATCCACGGCTTCCTATAATTTTTTACTAAGCCGTGATTGGATTCATCCAAATATGTGCATCCCATCATCATTACATCAAATGCTAATTTTTTGGGATGGAGATAAGGTGAAAATAGTGAATACCGATGATAAGCCATTTGTGAAAAAAGTGTATTCAGCAGATGGTGTTTTATATAACGAAGAATGTGTTCCTATTCTATTTATTGGAACAAGAGCTAACGGAAGACCAACATCTGCAACCTTGAGAAGAAGTTTTGCTAATCGTGAAATTGGCGAGTTGCAGCAGGAAAATTCTAGGCCAAAGGTAGAACTCCCTCGGCCTACTTTAATTGAAGAAGAAGTTGTTAATGGAGGCGAAACTTGAGAAAGAAGCAGCTCAGCAACAAGCCTTTAGGGCGGCTTTCATTAGGTTACAAGCATACATAGCCGAAAAATAGCTAGAAAGGGAAGCAAAAATAGATCCAGGACCATCGGCTAGTACTGCCGAAGTCTATCAAATTGATAATGAAAAGTTGGATGCTATTCAACTAGAAGACTTGGAATTGGCACTAGCTAAGCTTGATGATCTTAAGGCAGAAACTCAAGATCCATTAAAAGAGGTAAATTTAGGCACTGATTTAGAGCCTAGACCAACCTACATCAGTGCACTGTTAGACTCAGAATTACAAGGCGAGGTGATCAGCATGTTAAAAGAATACAGTGACTGTTTTGCTTGGAATTATGAGGAAATGCCAGGTTTATCCAGAGATTTGGTGGAACATCGGTTACCCATTAAAGATGAAGCCATATAAACAACCGCCTCGCCAAATGTCTCAGGAGGTGGTAGATAAAATTAAGGTGAAAATCAAACGATTGCTAGATGCTTGTTTCATTTGAACTATAAGGTATGTCGAGTGGTTATCAAATATAGTTCCTGCTATAAAGAAGAACGAAAAATTACGTATATATGTTGATTTCTGAAACATAAACTTGGTAACCCCAAAAGATGAGTATCTAATACCTATAGCCGATCAATTAATTGATGCGGCTGCCAAGCATGAAATCATATCTTTTATGGATGGACACTCAAGCTATAATCAAATTTACATAGCCGAGGAGGACATTCCAAAGACAACTTTCAGATGTCCAGGATCGATTGGAACTTTTGAGTGGGTAAAAATGCCTTTTGGGTTGAAGAATGCTGGTGCTACATATCAGCGAGCTATGAATTCTATTTTTCATAATATGCTTGGCAAGTTTATAGAGGTATATATTGATGATGTGGTGTTGAAACCAGCAACAAAAGAAAAGCACTTAGCTCATCTCAAAGCATCTTTTGAGAAGATGAGGGCTCATAAGTTAAAAATGAATCCAATAAAGTACGTTTTTGGAGTATCAGCAGGAAACTTTTTGGGTTTCTTGGTTCATCAAAAGGGCATAAAGATCAACAGGAATAAAGCTAAGGCAATTATTGATGCTAGTGCACCGAGAAGCAAGAAACAATTGCAGAGGTTACTTGGTCAAGTGAATTATCTCAGACGATTTATTGCTAATACAACTAGTAAGTTACATGTGTTTTCCCCGTTACTTAAGTTGAAGCCGATGGAAGAATTCAAATGGGATGGTACACATCAGAGGGCATTTGACTAGATTAAGAAATACTTGTCTGTCATGATGCCACCAAGGAAGAAATGGCCGATAAAGTTATATTTATCAGTTATTGAAAAATCCATCGGAGCGATGCTAGCACAAGAGAATAAAATAGGAAGTGAACAAGCAATATACTATCTCAGCCGAGTTTTAACTCCAGTCGAGTGTACATATACGCCGATTAAGAAATTATGTTTGGCTTTGTATTTTGCAGCAATGAAATTAAGAGTATATATGTTGCCTGTGTTAGTTTATATTGTTTGTCAAACAGATCTTATAAAGTATATGCTATCAAGGCCATTAATCACAGGCCAGATCGGCAAGTGGGCTCTGGCACTAATGGAGTTCAATTTTGCATACATTCCATAAAAGGCAATTAAGGGGAAAGCATTGGCAGATTTTCTAGCCGATCATCCCTCACCTGAAATCAAATCACAAGTGTTTGATGAACTTGACTCGACAACCATATTCATGACTCCTTAGACTTTAATGTTTGATGGGTCGAGTCCTAGTGAAGGCTCAGGAGCTAGTATAGTAATAATATCCCCAACAGGGAACCAAATTTTGTTTTCCTTCTTTTTGGATTTCAGGTGCTCAAATAATCAAGTCGAGTATGAAGCATTGATTATCGGCTTGGAAATTATGCTAGAAATGGAGTCAAAGATGTCCACATTGTGGGGGACTTAAGTTTGGTGATTAATCAAATCTCAGAAGACTTTAGATGTTTGAATTGGCAATTAAGGCCATTTCATTCATTGGCAACCCAATTGGTCAACCAATTTCACAATGTGACTCTAGAATACAAACCAAGGGTCATGAATAAAATAGCTAATGATTTAGCACAGACTGCTTCAGGAATCAGGGTGCCGAGTGGTATGAAGGAAAAGATAATGAAAATCACACGCCAATCTCTTCCATCGGCTGAAACAAGAAATCAAATTATGGAAGAAGTCTTTGCTACTGATGTTACCGAGTTAGATGATGATGATTAGCGCATTCCTTATATTTTGTTCTTATAAAATCCAACTCCAGAAGCCGATCGAAAAATAAAAAGAAATGCAGTTAATTATGTACTTATGGATGGAGATCTTTATAGGAGATCGGCTGATGATGGCTTGCTATTTCAATCTATTAGCAAGTTTGAAAGTTTAAAGATTATGGCAGAGGTACATGAAGGAATATGTGGAGCTCACCAAGCTGGCATAAAAATGAGGTGGTTGAAACGTCGATATGGATATTATTGGCCTGGAATAAGAAAAGATTGCATGACTTATGCCAAGGGTTGTATGGATTGTCAAAAGCATGGCCCAATGCAATGGGTTCCAACTATAGAGATGTAGTTATTAGTTAAGCCATGGCCTTTCAGAGGTTGGGCCATAAACTTAATCGGCAAGATTAATCCTCCTTCATTAAAGGGTCATCATTAGATTATTTTAGCTACCGATTACTTTACCAAATGGGTAAAAGCTGAGAAATACGTATCGGTAACTCATAATACTGTTATACAGTTTTTGAAGCAACACATCTTTCACCAATTTGGTCAGAAACAATTGTTGCCAATAATGGATCTGTGTTTCGAGCAAGTGAAGTATTACAGCTCGGCCGTGATATGCAAGTAAAAATGGTAACTTCAACACCCTATTATACTTAAGGGAATGGCCAAGCTGAGGCTTCAAATAAAGTTGTAACTAAAATTATTGAAAAGATGATAAAGGACAAGTTGAGACATTAGCATGAAACACTTTCAGAAGCCTTGTGGGTCTTATAGAAACTCGAGAATGACAAGTACAGGAACAACTCCTTATCAGCTAACATTTGGCTATGATGTTGTATTACCGATGGAGTTAAATGTGAAATGGGCAAGGGTAGCTCTACAACACAATCTGATACCTACCCATTACAACGAAGCTATGCTTGCCAAGTTGGAAGATTTGGATGAGGTTCAGAAACTTACTTTAGACCACCTTATGGTCCATAAAGCAAAGGTAATGAAGGCTTATAATAAAAGGGTGAAGTTCAAGTCATTTGCAGAGGGTGATATGGTTTGGCAAACAATTCTTCCACCTGGAAAAGTAGATAGAACTTATGGCAAGTGGCCACCTACATGGAAGGGACCGTTTATGGTTCACCAAGTTTTACATAGAGGAGCTTACAAGTTGAAAGATGTAGATGGTGAAATTCATGAGAGACCTATAAATGGAAGGTACTTAAATAAATATAAACCAACTATTTTTGAACTTATAGAGGAAAAGAAAACCTCTATTAAGTAAAAAGATAGTTTGGAATGTATTCATTCGATTTTATGTAAGTTGTTTGAAGCTATAAGTGTGTAGTTAAATAAAGATGTCATTGAAATAAGGTTACAAAAATAGTTATAGCAAATTGTTCAAAACTATATTACATCCCCAAAATGCCATATTGTTCATAAAATCATAAATAGTCAAGATTGTTTAAAACTTTAGTGAAAATCTTCAAATTTGGCCTTTATATCTACCCATGAGGTCTTGGTTTTGGTGAGCTTGATCTCTGCTTGTTGTTTGGACTGCTCTAACCTCGGCATCTGAGCCTGTAATGCTTTAAACTTGGGGGCAGCAACTTCTGCTTGTTCTTTAATTCTGCCACCTTGTCGCCAAGTTGGCATTTATCTTGTTGAAGCTGAGCTAGTATTGCCTGAAGCTTCTTCTCTCTAGCATCTAGTTCGGCAGCTTTTCTCTTCAAGGACAAATGCAATTCTCTTCCACGTTTCAAAGTTTGGGAAAACAGTTTTTTTTTCTTGGTTTTGAGCGGCACATTTGTTGATGGTTTGAGTAGATTCAGCATAGGAAGTAATCATGGAGGGAACTTGAAGTTGGAAATTCTTGAAAAAGGATTGATCATTCAAAGAAAATCCTAAGTAACTACTCAGAAAAGAAAAGTTCTCAGTAAGTTCTTCTTTGAAAGAATGGATTGAGGATAGGTCCTGTTGCAACATTTGAAATAATATCTGAATAGTCTTGGTTACTTCTAAAAGAGTGTCAGAGGTTGGCTCAGTTGGGATTATAGGAGGTTCAGGATTTAACAAATCAAACAAAGAATCAAATAAAGAGTCACGGGTGGCAAAAGGAGAACTTGGATTGGCACTTGCAGGAATGGTAGGCGTAGTCGAGTCTTTTTGTACCTGAAATATTTTGGGATTAGTACCAAACACTACAAATCTAAAAGGACAGATTAAGGAAAATTACAACTTACTTCCTCAGAATCTCCTATTTGTTCATTCACTGAAGCTGCAGCTAGGTGTTCAGCAGAGACTGGAGAAATTGTTCTTTCAAGGAACCCTAGTCCTTTTTTTACTGACATTTCAATCTTTTCTCCTTCAACACTGTTCAAAGTAACTTCTGGACTTATATTTTGTTCTGAAGATAGTGGAGTTTTCTGAAAATGATGCCGATTTAGTCATACTATTTGAACAAAGATACAGTATAAAAATCAGGCGTTAAAAAATGTTACTTGGGGAGTCTTAGTGTCAGGTTTTCTTGGACATAACTTCATCTTCATCTACTTCATCGTCACAAATCGAGATGAAGTGCCTCTTGGCTCTTGATTTTTTAAAAGGTTTTTTTCCCACAGTTTTCCTCCTTATTTTCCCCTAGAATAAAAGTATTAGTAGGTAAATGATATACATAAAAAGAATGGTTATGATTATGAGTATTACCTGTGTGGCAGTTATAGGGGGTATACTTTGAATAGGAACATAAAGATCAAATTGGGTTTCTTCAAACTTGGTGGGTATCGATTGCTCTAGTATATTGGAATGTGTGCCTGAAGTTATGTTAGTAAGCATATAAACAAAATACAAGTTTATATGAAAAGAGCAAAGATATAGAACTTACTCTGCCGAGAGCGAGATCTGGTCTTACTTGCAGGAGCGGTGGGGGGAAGACGAGTATACGTTCTGTCTGTTACATTCTCTGGTTTAGGAGCGGCAGTAAGGTCAATGGATTCAATGGAGTCCACACCTTGAAAATTGAGGGAAATGAATTTGTAGGACCCAAGAAGATTGCACACAAGTTGGTTGGAATCTGCAGTCCTATGAAATTGATGTATGATGCCCACCAAATCTCAAAGCTTGGATTAGTATGTGGTTCCTCAAGAAAGGGCTTATACTGAAATTCTTAAAGGCGCTGAGTAAATCGATTGGTTACATCCTGAATTTGTTCACTGTTTGAGAGCTCGACCCGTTGATGATAATTCTTGCTATAAGAAAAATGGGGTGGCACTGGGATAGTTGGGTCAATCTAAATTGTCGTGCTAGTTGAGCCGGGTTGTAGAATTCTACCCCAGTTCAACTCTTGGGAAGATGGGGAGCAACGGTGTTACAAGGAATATCCCTAGTAATTAAGAAATGGCCCCAAGATTGGTTGTGAAGTTCAATTTGTTCTGCTGAAGACTCGGCAGTAGGAGGAAACAACCACGATACAGATAGCCGACAGTTGGAGAAAGGAAAAAATTGGGATTGAGTCCTGATTTTACACTGGTGATAGAAAAACTAGAAACAGTCATTAAAGGAGTGATTTTTGGGCTTTACTTTGGCATACCCAAATGACAGTAAAGGATCATTCGTAGCAAGCCGAATGGGGGGAGCTAGTTCAGGGAAGTATGCATGCAGCCAGAATTGATAAAGCCAAAGGGGACCTCCGGATCTGGAAAAATTGGAAGTAATGAGGTCAGATAAACCTCTATACAATGAAGCTAAAAGGAATGGAGCTAAGGCCATGGGCTTTCCTTTGGATAGTGCAATAGCCAATTGAGTAAGATCTTTAGTGATTTGGATAGTGGGGGCACACAATAAATATATACACAGCCACAACAGCGAAAAAACCTATATGTTCTTATTCATCTACTTCAGTCCCATCTTCCCCTAACATTTCTTTTAAAAAAGGGCCATGTGACTGCACGTAGGGTTTAGACCCTTTTTATTCTTGAAAATAAAAGGAAGTTTCTTTATCTTGGAGGAGATAATTGATTTCAATCTCCTCCCGGTTTCAAACCCGTCAGAAAACAAACATCCCTTAATGTAGGGGCCATCATACCACAGTACAAGTGTAGTGAATTGGTTATGGGTGACCAGAAGTGTAAAGAAGCGAAAAACAACGCTCGATCAAAGGAAAAAAGAATCTTAGTGAGTTGGATGAGGTCAAAGATACCCATCTTTTTCCACTGCCCTCCTTTCGCTGCTGATACACGATCCACCCAGTCGTTCCATTGGAGCATTGGTGATGCCAATTTCTGATGGAGAGAGTTGGTCTATCCCCTTCCGTTATCAAATAGAGAGGTTTTGAGAAAGGAAGGTGTTGCTCGGCCTGTGGATAAATCAGAGACAATGAAGGAGGGAATCAATTAAGAAACGTTGGCCAAGTCCCTTAGCGTTTTCTGTGATGTCGATTAACATGGTGGTATCCAGTTCATTTTGATCTGGGGTTTTGATCGCTGATTTTGTAATTTGTGTATGTGATGTTGCTTCTGGAAAAGGGGTTTCCAAATTCAAATCACTTTGTTTCGGTTATTTTGAAGTCATGGTTGAAGAACGGACAGATGAAGTTGCAGAAGATTTTTTAAGAATGAAAGACTTTGACAGAAGAAAGTTTGTTGATATGAAATAAAGAGTTTTGTTTTGTGAATGAAGAAAAGATGTGAAGCACTAGGACACAAAGGGTTAGATGCAGAATTAATGGTTGAAAGGATAGATTAGTAGAATCGGCATTTTTTAGAAATCACAACCATTATGATACTTAGGAGATTATATGGTGTATGTGTAATGACCCTATCATTTTCCTCCCTTTCTTTTTTTGGTGATTTCTTTTTTTGTCCTTTTCCCTATTTCATTTCTTTCCCGTTTATCATTTTCCTTTGCATAACCTCACTTTTTGTGCTCGGATATGAGTCCGGCTTTGCATGCACCCATAATATTTGGTTTCCATGATATTTGTATTTTTACTTTTGTAGAAAATACATTCTTGTTGTTTACTTTTTGTAAAGGGTATGGATGCATATCTTTTTGTAATTATTTTTTATTTTGGGGTTTTAGTGTAATTATGCAAAGTAATTATTTTTCGTCTTAGGGACCATCTTGCAATTTAATTTGGAAGATATTTTGGAAAAGGACCTTTTTGCAATTTTTGACAAAAAGTGACAAGTGTCACATTCTCATGGAGCCACTTGTTGGCATTGTGGTGGAAAGACTTTCCAGAGGAACTGACAGAGTTACCTCCTTTAAGGGAAGTTGTTTTTGCCATTAATGTCATTCCCAGTACAGCACCCATCTCTATGGCACCGTACCGTATGGCACCGATAGAGCTTGATGAGCTGAAAGGTCAGTTGGATGATTTGAAAGCTAAGGGCTTTTTTCGTCCTAGTGTTTCACCATAGGGAGCACTGGTTCTTTTCACGAAGAAAAAGGATGGATCTTTAAGACTTTGTATCGATTATCACAAGTCGAATCATGCTATGATCAAGAACAGGTATCCCTTGCCTAGGATTTATGACTTATTTGATCAATTAAAAGGACCGACATGCTTTTCGAAGATTGATTTGAGATCGGGTTACTATCAGTTGAGGGTTAAGGATGAGGATATATCCAAGACCGCTTTTCGCACACGGTATGGCCATTATGAGTTTCTGGTAATGCCATTTGGTTTGACCAATGCTCCAGCAACTTTTATGGATTTGATGAACCATGTATTCAGTGACTATCTTGATAGATTTGTGGTGGTGTTCATTGATGACATCCTTGAATACTCAGCTTCGCTAGAGGAGCATGAGTATCATTTGAGGATAGTTTTGCAAATCCTTAAGGATAACTGATTGTATGCCAAGTTCGAGAAATGCAAATTTTGGCTATTGGAGGTGAAGTTCCTTTGACATGTTGTGTTAAGGGGCAGTGTTGCAGTGGATCCATTGATGATTGAGACTATGATGGATTGGGAACATCCGAAGACAGTGTTTGAGATTCAGAGCTTTCTTGGCCTAACCAGCTACTACAGGAGATTTGTTCGGGATTTCTTTCGTCTAGCGGCACCTATGACTCGACTTACTCACAAGGTAGTCAAGTTCATATAGAATGAGGCTTGTGATTCTGCTTTTCAAAAGTTGAAGGTCAAATTGACATCAGCTTCAGTCTTGATCATACCTGAATGTGGTTTGGGTTACGGGGTCTATCGTGATGCTTCGCGAGAAGATTTAGGGTGTGTTTTGATGTAAACTGAATGGGTGGTAGCTTATGGGACTCGACAGT